TATGTCATAGAATCTTCACACCACGCTGGCAAGTATAGATAGTGGGTTATGTCAAGAAATCTTCATAACCACAGCAGGAGGTGTAGACAGTGGGTTATCTCATGGAATCTTTACAGTCTGACTGGGAGGTGTAGAGACTTCTGTTTCTTCATATTACACCGAAATGAGTCTCAGGGAGCTCCTGGAATTTGCCCAAGAGCACTAGCCTGAGGCCCTAAACTAGCTCTGCGGGCCCCAGGGCCACATCGTTAGCAGCTCCGTTACCCTGGCCCCAGGGAGGAAACCTTCATTAGCATAGCCCGTTGAGCCCAACCCCAAGAACAGGGGCCCTCAGAAGTTAGTGCTGGAGCAACGTCCTTTTCAGAATCGATCCTGGACTGCAGGGGGCATGTTAAGGAGAAGGAGGAATCTGGAGAGGAACAAGCTTACCACCTGCTCCTTTGAAGGAATCCTATCCTTAAATGACATCATACTATTTTCTCTGATCCAAAGTTGGTTTCCTATGAGTTAAACGGGAGGAGCTCTGTTGCCGTCCCGGCTTCCTGCACCCTCTGCACCATGCCTTCAGAGGAGTCCTGCTGCATCTGCCCTGCAGCAAACCAAACTTGCTACCCTTCCTCCCAGGGCAGCTGCACTGCACGGGGAATCTGGCCCTTCCACAATCCGCAAAGGCGCTCACACAGACACAGACCCGGAATTGCTGGTCCCTGGCCTGTGAGAAATGCTCCTGGGCTGTTTGCTGCAAACCCAGGCACACTTGACAGCTTAAACTCATTGCCAGTTGGAGAGGAGAAATCGAGATGTCAGAGTCTTTAGCCAAATCCCCGGGAGATTAACGTTGTCTGTGTATGGAGGCAGGAAGTGGTAAACAAAGGAGTGTTTTCAACTGATTTATCTGAGCTGAGGCCACGTCTGCATTATCCCGGGATTAATGACATTTTGAACATGTTTAATCTCAGAAGCTATTTTATGGTGCAGCCTCGACCCTGAATGTTCCTGCTTGAGCAGTCACGTTGTAAGGTCTTTGGCCTCTGAAGCCTGCCTTTACCCCGCACATTGCCGGGGCTTCAGCCCCTTCTCCTGCCCTCCCCAGGTGGAGTATGGGGCAGATCCCAGAGCTCCTGCACTGCCAGTGTGGCTGCCAAGCACAGGAGGTGAGCATACGGTTCGGAGAGGCCTCCTAGGCCCCTCCCACAGAGCAGGGTGGCTCATCACACAGCTGCTCTGCCTGTGCTCACTGGGGACAAAGGCGCAGCGTCTCTGAGTCTCAGCACTGTGGAAGGTGATGCTCAGCCCATCACGCCTTTCTCAGCTTACCCGCTGAGAGGCTCCAGGTGGAATCTCAGGCATCTGTGAACTACATTAGGGAGTTGGAGTGGGTTTTCTCCCTTTTTCCTGGTGTCTGGACCCCCATTTGCCATTCCTGCACTCCTCTGCCTATGAGGGTGGCCCTGGACAGTCCCTGTAACAAAGTCTGGAGATTACAAGGGTCTTGCATTCCTGACAAGGAAAAAGGTGAGAAAGAAGAGAATACAGAATAAAAGGAAAGACCAGCAGTTGCAGAGAAAGAGGCAGGAACCAAAAAGAGAAATGGTGGTGTGGTCATAAACTGGCCCACTGCTTGGTGATGCTGCTATTGCAGGTTGCCTTACCCCACAGCAGCACAGCCTGGCCCAGCCAGGGCACCAGCCCACTCCTGTGGGTCTGCACATGAACACAGACACACGCGTAAACACACACACAGTACAGCTGGAAACATTCCTACCCCACAGACAGGCAGCAGCAGGTGACCTTTCTGTGGTCGGGATGGAATTCTGCCGGCATGCTCTTGATGTAAGGAAAAGAAAATTTACCTCTTGCCAAGCTCAGCGTTTAGAACTGTATCTGCACATAGTCTATGGCGTGTGTTTGTTCGGTAGTAAGAAATGCTTATGACCAAAGGCATACTTCAGTGGGGTAGATGCTCAGCTGGCAAATATGTCTAGTACCAAACACAGTGAGGCAGGTTTCTCAAGAGGTTACAGAGGACTTAGGAGAGAGACTGACCGGAACAGACTTGATGGAGGAGGTAGTGTCTGGGGGCCCTGGTGAACCAGCAGGGAGGATTCTAGAACAGGATATCCAAGCCCTTGTCAACTCTCTTGAGCTGTGGCCACAGCCTCCTAGCTCCCCAGCCTCTCGTCCCTCCGCAGTCAGACTGATTCTCCACACAACCTCCAGAGTGGGCCCATGGTTTAAAACTCCCACAGCTCCCCCATGATGGACAGAAAAAAAAAAAAAAGACAGAAAAGACCCTTCCTTGGGACTGGTTTACACAACTCCTCCACCTGCCCCCATCCCCAGCCTGGAAAATTATTCTCCAGATCCCAACCCAGAAGCACCCCTACTCCCACTCACCAGTGGTAGGCCCTGTGTCCGCATAGCCCTTTGTAAATTTTAGCATTTTCCAGTTTCTACCACAGTTACTTGTTTGCGTCTTGTCTCCCCAACTAGACTTTGAGCTTTTTGAAGGAACAATGTGTTGTTTATTTTCCCACCTCAAATATAAAGCAGTCCTTGCCCGTAGCAAACACTGAATGAATGGAAAGAAGAAAGAAAGGTGAAACAGGAGAATAGAGATGCTGGGCTCTGGCTGGGAATAGAAAGTAGGACTGGATTGTACACTAGGAAGTATTAGTAATTTCAGCAGTTCTGCCTGTTGGATCAGGAGTAGAAGAGAGAATGCTGGGAGGAAGCGATGACGGCTGAGGGTCAGGAGCAAGCAGGAGTTCCAGATTAGGAAAAAAACTCAGACAAAGACCTGGAGAAGGGCCTCAGAGGCTGGAGGGATGCCTCACGGGGACAGGCTCCCCCAGAGAGGATGTACAGATGTGCACCCACGTCAGAGCTGCAGGGGTGAAGCAGGTTGAGGACCAGGTTTGACCTTGGGATTTGGGGTTGGTTGGTTGGGAGGATGCAAACAGTGGTGTCGACTCGTGGCTGGTTCAGGAAGTGGCTGACGAGACATAGGCAGAGGCCATTTGAGCTAAGGGTAGAGGAGAAGGGAGAACTGGGCCTTCAGGGGACAGTGAGGCTCCGTGGAGACTTCAAGCTATGGAAGCCCAAAGCATTCTGCAAAGCTGCAGAGGGAGAGACTGAAGAGTCAGGAAAGGGGTAGGATGAGTCCAAGAGATGGAGCAGGATTCCCAGGGGGCCAGTCCGGTGGAGGCCCCAGGGAGCAGCCAGAAAAAGGAGTGGGAGCCGTCCCTGGCTGCCAGGGCCAGGGGAGATCCTGGGTGTGTGAGGCTGAAGGCTCTTCTCGCTCCCAGCAGGAGACTGTAGCTTGCAAAGCAGTGGCCACCCGTCCTTGTACCTCCTTGTTGAATAGGGCACTAAGGGAAAAGAATTCCAGCCTGAACTGGAAGTAGAAACAAAGACAAAGTGAGTAATATCCTCTGCACGCCAGAGCAAGGGGTGGAATACATCAGGCCACAGAGAACAGTGACGTTAACTCCTCCCGGACATCTGCATGTGTTGCTGTGAAACGGTGCTGTTGTCACCCGGCTGACTCAGGCGCACTGTGGAAGGGAACCGAGGAGAGGTGCCAGGTGGTTGGAGATCAGTTTCAGCCTTTGTTTTATCCTGTGGCAGGCAAACATCCAGAAGCAGGCTCACAGGGAACCCTGGGTTCTATGCTTTTGATGTACCTGTAGGAAGCCACTTATTGGCCAGGGGAGGCGGCTCAAGCCTGTAATTCCAGCACTTTGGGAACCTGAGGCAGGCGAATTGTTTGAGCTCAGGAATTCGAGACCAGACTGGGCAACATGGTGAGACCCCATCTCTACAAAAAATTCACTGGGCGTGATGGTGCATGACTGTAGTCCCAGCTGCTGAGGAGGCCAAGGTGGGAGGATCACTGGAGCCTGGTAGGTGGAGGTTGCAGTGAGCCTTGATCGCACCACTCTACTTCAGCCTGAGTGTCAGAATGAGACCCTGTCTCAAAAAAAAAAAAAAAAAAAAAAAAAAAGAAAAGCCACTTATTTAATCCACAGATTTCCTTTTTCTATTGATGAAGGTAATAAATTCTTATTGTAAAAAATATGAAAATACAGAAGAGTTGAAATGTAAGAGGAGGGGAATGACCCACAGTTTCACCACCCAAAGATAAGCACAGTTAATACGGAAGGAGAGTCAACAAAACATATGGTGTCTTTTTTAGTTTTATTTTTATATTTGAGACAAAGTCTCACTCTTGTCCAGGCTGGAGTGCAGTGGCGTGATCTTGGCTCACTGCAGCCTCCACCTCCCAAGTTCAAGCGATTGTCCTGCCACAGTCTCCCAAGTAGGTGGGACTACAGGCACCCGCCACCACGCCCGGCTGATTTTTGTATTTTTAGTAGAGATGGGGTTCTGCCATGTTGACCAAGTTGGTCTGGAACTCCTGACCTCAGGTGATCCGCCCGCCTTGGCCTCCCAGAGTGTTGGGATTACAGGTGTGAGCCACCGCACCTGGCCAACATATGGTTTCAAAGGCACTATTTCTTTTCTCTCTAGGACATTAAGGAAAGCAACTGTGACCAGTCTTTGGTGTCACTCTCTCCACAAAGGGAAGGTTATGCTCACAGTTGTTAGAAGACAAGAGGTTAATAGTGCGTCTATAACATTTGAGCAGGAATCGGGTAGTATGTCCACAATGACAGGATTATATTAAAGAAATTGTATCTATTTGTGTGCTATTTTTTATCTCCTTCCAGAAGGGATTCCCAAGAGGAAGTTGGCTTAAGTACACGCAGACCCTATAGAAGCAGTTGCATTTAATTTTTTATGACTCAGACTAGAGGAGCATAATCTCTCTGATGCATCTTTAATAAGAAAACAAAGTCCCCTAAAGAAAGTAATGCTCGCCCAGACCCCCTGCAACCCCGAACCAAAGCAGTAGTGTTCTCTGTGCGGGAGACACAAAGCGTGAAACCGAAGAGGGAACGGGACTGTTTCTATAATCTTGTGCCTTTACCCAACAGAAAAGAATCTGCCGCCTGCAGCAACAGGGCCTGGAGCTGATGGGCAGCCTGTGCCACCCTGGATCACCGTCACTAGGCAGAAGCGGCGAGGGACCTTGGACCAGCCACCCAACCAGGAAGACAAACCTGGGACACGGACCCTGAAGTCTGAACCAGGAAAGCAAGCCAAGGTGCCCGAGAGAGCCCCGTTGCTTAGAGCAGATGCTTTCCATTCTGTGGGTGCAGGAGGGAGCAGCCAGCTGGGGCTGGGGCGAGGACCCCATAAGGACCACACGTCCTGCATGGGCGTCACAGGGACCGTCACCTGTGATGCTTGTGGATGTGTGGTCGAGGGCCAATGAAGCAAAATAAATGACTTGCCAAATCCTAACCTCCATGGTGGAGCATTCTGCCTGCCTTTGCACATGCTGAGCTGTTGGGATACAGAGAAGCACGTGAGTCACTTCGGCGGTGCAGACAGCTCTCTACTCCCTGCCTCCTTGGCAACGCAGCAGCTCAGCATCTAGAAAAATGGAAGGAGGTTAAAATAACTTCTGAGTTAGACACACAGCAATGATGTCAACAGCTCCATCCCAGCTCATCATGCTGTGAGGAGTGAGCCCTGCTCTTTGCTGCTCCACTGGCCACACGCTGGAGCTCCTCATTCCTCACCTGCGGCTGCAGGGCTGGAACCTGTGGTTTCATTTTGTACTCTGAACGGAAGGCAGCTTTCACCAGCCCAAACAACTATGCCTAGAATCAGGCCGAGACTCGCAATTTTTGTATCCCCCAATAGCACCATGATAAATCTGTGTGTTTCAGCCATGTGGGGAAGAGAGGCTGAGCCTGCAGTAGGACCTGCTTCCCCTCGTTTTAACTAGAACCTCCACTATACCCAGACTCGAGGACCCTCATGCAGGCGTGGGGCATTTAGAAAACAAGTAGTAACCGGTTTGGGATATCTGTAACTATACCAACTGTCATAAAAATCACAAATCGATTCTAAACAAATCATCTTCACTGCCAAATGGGATCCCTGCCATCTGCCATCTGGCCCTGAAGCCAGGTGTGGGGACAGGAAGGAAGCCGTGATGCATGCGTGTGCCAGGATAAGGCCGCATGCCAGTCTGAGCACCAGCATCTGACCACTTGGTGTTAGTGAGCTGACACTAGGGTGCCCTCCCAAGAAAGTGCCAGCAGTGCAAGCATCTTGGACGGGCAGCCTTGCAGCTCCTTCACTTTGGGTGTGTTTGCCCCTGTCTGAATCACTGGTGACTTGGCAGCGTGTGTCTTGTGTCCCAACAGGAGCCTGTGAAGCAAGCTGACTTTGTCCGCAGCAAGTCTTTCCTGATAACCCCTGTGAAGCCCGCTGTGGACCGGAAGCAGGGGGCAAAGCTCAACCTCAAGGAGGGGCTGCAAAGAGGAATCTCTTTGTCCCATCAGAACTTGGGTATGAAATCTGCAAACATGACCACATACTTTGAAATCATTTTCCTGGGTCGTTCCTGCAGTTTGGGTTTTGGTTTGGTTTGGTTTTTGCGAATTACTTGCCACCTTGAGTTTTCTACTCAGCTCTTACAGAGATATAATTTACGTGTCATAAAACTCATCCATTTTAAGTGTACAGTTCATTAAGTATAAGGTTGACCCTTGAACACACAAGTTTGAACTGTACAGGTCTACTTAAATGCTGACTGTTTTCCAGCCAAACCCAGATGGAAAATTACCTGTATCCTTAGGATGTGAAACCTGAGAAAACAGAGGGCCATCTTTTTGCATATGCGGGTTCCACGGGGCTGACTGCAGAACTTGAGTATTCATAGATTTTGGTGTATGCAGGTGGGAGCGGTCCTAGAACCAACCCCCAGCATACACCAGGGGATGACTGTATATTGACAGTGAGCAGGTATGTATTTACAGAGTCGCACAGCTATGATGACAATCTAATTTTACAATATTTCCCTCACACTAAAGAGAAACCTCATGCCCATTTACAGTCACGTCCCACTCCCACTCCTAGCTCTAGGCAACCACTAATCTACTCTGTCTCTATGGATTTGCCTTTTTTGGACATTTCTAATGAATAGAATCCTAACGTATGTGCCCTTTTTTATCTGGCATCTTTCACTGAACATAGCATCTTCAAGATATGCCTTTGTTGTTGCATGTATCGATATGTAAAAATTTTTAGGCCAGACGCCTTGGCTTACACCTATAATCCCAGCACTTTGGGAGGCCGAGTCGGGCGGATCACCTGAGGTCAGGAGTTCAAGACCAGCCTGACCAACATGCAAAACCCCATCTCTACTAAAAATAAAAAAATTAGACAGGCATGGTGGTGCATGTCTGTAATCCCAGCTACTTGGGAAACTGAGGCAGGAGAATCGCTTGAACCCGGGAGGCAGAGATTGCAGTGAACCGAGATTGCACCACTGCACCCCAGCCTGGGTAACACAGCAAGACTTCTGTCTCAAAAAATACATATGTATACACACATACATACATATATACACACAAATATACATATATATATACGAAAATGCATGTATATGGAAATTTTTATAGTTTTTTAATTGTGGTAAAGGCACATAACAGAATTTACCATCTTAGCCATTTTTAAGTGAACAGTTCAGTAGTGTTAAGTAGAGGGACACTGTTGTGCAGCCCATCTGTAGAGCTCCTGCCATTTTATTTCCAAAGTCTCTCTCACCTCATTGCATTGCCAGAATTGTTTGAACTTGTTCATAAGTCTTTTTATCACATAAATGACATATTCTAGGCCCAAATCTTCCTTGCATGTTCACATATTATTGAATTTTCTGTTCGAGAACACAGTTAAGACCTCGATGTCTATTTCAAGAAACGCAAGAGGCTTAAGGGAAAATCCGAAGTCGCTGCTCATGTTTCTGTTTGTTTTGTCTCCCTTCCAAGCAGCTCAGTCTGCAGTGATGATGGAGAAGGAATTGCATCAGCTGAAGAGAGCCAGTTATGCCAGTACAGATCAGCCATCCTGGATGGAACTTGCCAGAAAGAAATCTCAAGCCTGGAGTGACATGCCCCAGATTATAAAATAGGTGGGCAGTGTGCTGATAAAGCATGTCCACTACCCTGACAAGCCACTTAGTTAAAAAACTGCCAGTATATTGTGGCAAACAGACCGTGAAACTTAAAGATTGATTTTATCATCAATTTATGACGAACTTGGGGAAGAGGAAGGAACCAGGCAAAACAAAGAGGATCAACACACAGCCATACTCCTGGGCCAGAGGGCCCAGAAACAAGAACAACACTGAAAGATCCAGGAACCAGTTCCTGTGCCCAAAGGTACGCGTGTGTCTTTTAGAATTCCCTTGATGAAGAAGCCTCAGACAAGAAAGAAAACAGAAATGAAGTTGGACGCGTAAGTAGGACACCCAGCAAAGGCCAGAAGAGAAGCCCTTCTAGGCGAAGGGACATCTGTGCTTCCAGCTGAGATCAGCCCATGTCTCTGGTCGCTGTCTTGCCTGTGGATCCTGTCTTCTCTCATGTTTACTACGAGGCATGACATTCATGGCAAAACAGAGATGCCGTTTCCAAGAGCAGCTATAAAACAATCTGTTTTCCTAAAGGCAGCCACTCTGAGAAGGAGATGAAGGAACATGGCAGGGTTCATCAATTCATAGACTGTTTCCCAAAATAATTTTTAAACTTTTCCACTAGGCATCTGTGTCTTTAACCACTGCACAATGCATTGCCTGTTTAATAAAAGGTTTCAAACATGCCTCTGTTCTAAGTGTAAATGTTATTTCTCCTCAGATTTAGAGAACATCCTCCAGCACTGAGTTTGCTTCATACATGCCTCATTTAAAATTCTGAATTGGGTTAATTGTGGAGTTTGAGTTTTTGAGGTTTTTTTTTCCCCCCAGTGAGAATTTTGAAGACAGACAGTAATGTAGGGTTTTAACTCTTTTCATCTATTTAGTACGACATACTGAATATATAAAAATTCCTTAGAAGTTATCATTCTTGAGCATCTAATCAATGGAACCTGCATATTTCTGTTGAAAGCTGGGTTGCTAGTGCATCAGCCAGTCTGACCCCTGAATGTGGAATGTGGAAAAACCAGGCAGAAGGAAAACATATTTGAAATCTCAGAATTGTCTTGGTTATAGAATGCCTCTTTACTGTTTAAAACAGTTCCAATTTGTTCCTTTGAACAAGGTAGTCTCCATGGGAATACGTATAGCTGGGGGCATTTAGCCATCAGAATCAGTACAACTTCATGATATACTATAATTTGATTTTATATACCCTAGGGCCTTGCTACTTTTATTGTATTTTCCATCTTCATGAATATTATTTTTCTAGCTGTTAGTACTACACAAGTTGATTGAGCCTACCTTTATTGAGAAAGTCCTGGGTCAGTTTTTTTCCCAACCAAATTGATTTACTGATTGCATTCTCTTAGAGAACGTCAATACTGAATTCCATGGTGAATATGCTGTAACACAAGAACTCCATCCATCTAGCCTTGCTCCCAAAGCCAAGGCGTCTGTGAATTGTTTTAACTGGCAAAAATCATGTTGGCTATTATTAACCCCAAACCATCATTTCTCCTTAGCAGGTGATTTCAGATGAACCATTTTGAGGCAGCAGATTTCACTGCAAGATCAAAAGTATTTGGTTTGGTTTTGTTCAAGCAGATGCTGATATTCTCTGTGGATTTGAGGACTTGGTTTAATTCTCTCTGATGCCTGGTGAGTTAGAAGGGTGCCATTTTTAGGACACTGGGAGAATTCACTAGGTTGTGGCCCTGCAGTTGCCACTTTCAGCGTGGAGTTGGTGACCCTTCTGTCATAACCAGCTGAGACCTTCACCGAAATTTGGCGATGTTGGGAAGTCCAGAGTGGCAGCAGAGATGATAAAAGCCTGCAAGGAATTACCAGCCCTAGTTTTCCTAAGAAGAAAGACGGGGGAGCAATTCCTGAGCCAGCCGCTGCTCTGTATTTCATATGTAGTTTAGAATCCTCTGCACAGTCCTTTGAGGGTAAGTATTTATATCCACTTTGCAGGTGAGGAAACTGAGGCACATTGAGGCTAAGATCCTATAGCAGGTATGAACCTGGAAAGTGACTCTAAGGCCCATGCTTTTAAACACTACCCTCGAGTAACATCCCCATTTTTATGTTTTATTTATTTTATTTTATTGACAGAGTCTCGCTCTGCCCCCAGGCTGGAGTGTGGTGGAGCAATCTCAGCTCACTGCAGCCTTTAGCTCTTGGGCTCAAGCGGTCCTCCCGCCTCAGCCTTCCAAGTAGCTGAGACAACAGATGTGATGTGCACCACACCTGGCTAATCTTCTGGTTTTTTTTTTTTTAGAGACGGGGTCTCACTATGTTACCTAGGCTGGTCTTGAACTCCTGGGCTCAAGCGATCCTCCTGCCTCAGCCTCCCAGAGTGTGGGATTACAGGTATGAGCCACTCCACCCAGCCAATATCCCCATTTTTAAAAAGCATTGGTGCAGCAAATCACTTGAGGTTAAGAGTTCGAGACCAGCACGGTCAACATGGTGAAACCCCATCTCTACTAAAAATAAAAAAAAATTAGCTGGGCGTGGTGGCACGCGCCTGTAATCCCAGCTACTCAGGAGGCTGAGGCAGGAGAATTGCTTGAACTCGGGAGGTGGAGGTTGCAGTGAGCCAAGGTCGCACCACTGCACTCCAGCCTGGGTGACAGAGCGAGACTCCATCTGAGAAAAAAAAATTTTTTTAATAAAAAGCACTGGTGCAGTGGCGAATCTGTGGCCTCAAAGACAACCCAGACATGAGAGCACTGAACTTGACCTTGGGGGCTTCTATGTCCTAGGGACACCTCTTCTTTTAATTCCTTAGACAGAGTGGAAAAGGGGAGGGCAGGCGTTTGTAATTTTTAATTGTGAGCATCTGCCTTAACTATGTGGTATTTTCATTCATTCCTTCACCTCATTCAGGTGACGCTTTAGTGCCTGCATTCTGTGAGGGCCTAGGGACAACTGATGAACAAACAAGTAACAGGCTAACCTTGTGCCACACCTGTCTTATTTGGGTATGGTGGGGGGACAATAAATAAATATAAAACATACCAAAAAACCCGAAGTAAAAATAGCAGTAAGTTCAATGGCGAGCCTAAAACAGAAGGTCTTGGTCATGCCGGAAGGACTACGTGAGACTGGGTAGTTAGTGAAAGGTTTACTGGAGGTGATCTAATTATAAAAATGGTCATGGTGGCCTGGTCTAAGGTAATGCTGGAGGTGGAGAGAAGCAGATGGATTCAAACCACAATTTAAAGGTAGTGTCAGGCCAGGTGCGGTGGCTCATGCCTGTAATCCCAACACTTTGGGAGGCTGAGGAGGGTGGATCACCTGAGGTCAGGAGTTTGAGACCAGCCTGGCCAACATGGTAAAACCTTGTCTCTACTAAAAATACAAAAAAAAAAAAAGAAAAAATTAGCCTGTTGTGGTGGTGCATGTCTATAATCCCAGCTACTAGGAAGGCTGAGGCAGGAGAATCACTTAAACCTGGGAGGTAGAGGTTACAGTGAACTGAGATCGCCCCACTGCACTCCAGCCTGGGCAACAGAATGAGACTCTCTCTCAAAAATAAAGTTAGCATCAAATCCAGCATGCAGTTGGGTTTGACATGGTTGGTGTGAGAAGGAAAAGGGTGGAGGTAGAGATGATACCTAGATTTTTGGTTGGAGCTTCTGGGTGAGTCGTGGTAACACGGAAATGGATGTGGAGGGTGAGATTCACAGAAAGGAGTTCAATTTGGACATCTTAAATCTGAGATTCCCGTTAGACATCTCAGTGGAAATACCAAGTTGTACAATTGCAGGTCATCAGCATTTGGATAGGATGGGAAGTCAGGGGTCTAGACAAGGGAGAGCAGGGTGGCAGGATTGATCCTAGGACACTCCTGCACTAGGGATCTAGAGTTGTCAAAAGGGTCTGTGAAGGAAAAGGGAAAGCAAAAGTGAGGCGAGAAAAAGTGTTGGAAAGAAGAGGGAAGAATCAGCTGTGTAAGATGAACCCACTGAGAGGGGGCTCCGCTGAGAGTGGAATCTGCTGAGAGTGAGATCCGCTGAGAGTGGGACCTGCTGAGTGGGACTCACTGAGATTTGGACCCGCTGAGAGTGGGATCTGCTGAGAGTGGAATCTGCTGAGAGCGAGATCAGCTGAAAGTGGGACCGGCTGAGTGGGACTCACTGAGATTTGGACCTGCTGAGAGTGGGACCCACTGAGAGTGGGATCTGCTGAGAGTGGGATCTGCTGAGAGTGGGATCTGCTGAGAGTGGGATCTGCTGAGAGGGATCTGCTGAGAGTGGGATCTGCTGAGAGTGGGATCTGCTGAGATTTGGAACCGCTGAGAGTGGGATCCGCTGAGAGTGGGATCCGCTGAGAGTGGGATCTGCTGAGAGTGGAATCTGCTGAGAGTGGAATCTGCTGAGAGTGGGATCTGCTGAGTGGGACTCACTGAGATTTGGACCTGCTAAGAGTGGGGTCCACTGAGAGTGGGATCTGCTGAGAGTGGGATCCGCTGAGAGTGGGACCCGCTGAGAGTGGGACCCGCTGAGAGTGGGACCCGCTGAGAGTGGGACCCGCTGAGAGTGGGATCCGCTGAGAGTGGGATCTCCTGAGAGTGGGATCCGCTGCGAGTGGGATCTGCTGCGAGTGGGATCTGCTGCGAGTGGGACCTGCTGAGAGTGGGATCTCCTGAGAGTAGGATCTGCTGCGAGTGGGACCCGCTGAGAGTGGGATCTGCTGCGAGTGGGACCCACTGAAAGTGGGATCTGCTGCGAGTGGGATCTGAGAATGGGATCTGCTGAGAGTGGAATCTGCTAAGAGTGGGACCTGCTGAGTGGGACTCACTGAGATTTGGACCTACTAAGAGTGGGACCCACTGAGGGTGGGATCTGCTGAGAGTGGGACCCGCTGAGAATCGGCTCTGCTGAGAGTGGGACCCGCTGAGAGTGGGATCTGCTGAGAGTGGGACCCGCTGAGAGTGGGACCCGCTGAGAGTGGGATCTGCTGAGAGTGGGATCTGAGAGATCCAACCAGATGAGAACAAGAGCAGCCATTGGCTTGGGAACCCAAAAGTCACAGATGACTTGACAAGGGCCCTTCCCATGGACAAGTGGGGGTGGAGGTATAGGTATAGTAGGTCAAAGCTGGCCAGCCTGTAGCTACATCAGCTATAACCAACTTCCAAGAAATTTTACTCATACATGAATAGGAGCAGAAGAAATGGCAGTAGCTGGGGGCAAGAGAAGGTTTTCCTATTCATTTGCTACAAGAGCAGGTTTACGTGTGAATAGGAATAGACTTGTAGGAGAGAAGGGAAAATTGCTGAATCAGGTCTTTCTGAAGCACGCCTTGCCGTCCAGAGATTCAGACAAGGAAGAAGCACCCACACTTGCAGGCTGCTTTTGTGGTTCCCGGCAATAGGAGCCCCACGTTTTGATCCAGCTGATAAGGGGGAGCCACTGTAACGATGACATGGTCATGTGCTTGCCCTGGCTACATGGGGACACTGGCCCATTTTCCTTACCGTGGCTTGAGTGTTAGTGCTGAGCTTTGGTATTCAGGCAGAAGGGTGTGTGATGTTATTTGGGTGTACAGCGCTCTGACAGCCCATATGTATGATAGATACCCAGGAGTCTCCTTTCCCCTGAAGAGCAAGGTAAAATCAACTTGGATGCCAGCAGATTCTATGCTTGGGAAATGCAAAACTTTGCCCCTGGTT